CCCCCCCGGGGTGCCTCCTCCGAGGGCCCGAGACTGACCCTGGGCAGGCTCGCTCGAGTCCTCACGTGAGTCCGGCCACAAGTTTCCACGCAAGGGATGGACAAATACATTCAGAACCTACCTGGCAGGCCCAGCTCTTGCCGCACGAGTTACAGAGGTCAAGATTTAAGCAGCGGAGTATAGCCCTGGCCGCTGGGGCTCAGTGGCTAGAGCGCCGGCCCGCAAACTGAACGGTCCCGGGTTCTGTTCCGGCCAAGGGCACGGACCTCCGCTGCAGACTCGCTCCCCAGCCCCGGTCGAGGCACATGAGGGAGGCAACCAGTTGATGTGTCTCTCTCACACTGATGTTTCTCCCTCTCTCTCTCTCTCCCCGCTTCCACTCTCTCTGAAAAGCAATGAAAAAGTATCCTCAGGTGAGGATTCAAAAAAAGAAGCAGCAGAGGACAAGGTCCACACTCTGGCCTCGGAAGCCAGTCACTTTCTCCAGTCCGGCTTTTCTGCAGCCATGAACTACGCTTCCACCAGGTCTCCCCTGGTTTGGAGCCAGGAGAGAGGAGCCACCCCAGTGTGTAAGCAAAGAGGAGAAGGGGAGATGGGAAGGAAGTTCCCCCCAAATCCCTATTTATTATTTTAAAGCCCAATTCCATAAGGGTCCCAGCTCACCTGGTATGTACATTTATTTTGAAGTAATAATTTTCTATAATCATAAGAGATTAACAATTCTTACAAAAACACCTGCAAATCTTGCAATCATATATTTTGGTAGCAACAGTTTTGAAAACATGTTATTTAGCCAGAGGCACAAAATCTTTTCTGCTGGCAAAAGTAAACAAAGCCATGAAGTTTTAGTATTCTGCATTATGTAATATGCAGCCACCTAGTAGACTGTAATGACCAGCTGCCCGGTAACTCCACTGGCCTCAGATATCAAAAATACAGTTTCCCTCATCAGTCCCCAAGGGGGGAGATTTAGAAAAATAAACAAATGTAAAACTTCTAAATTGCCATTACGTCGGGCTCAGGCAGGGAAGCAGACTGCTCTCCGAGTACCTCGAGTGGCCCACAATGTGTAACAGCTGGAATCCTCACAACACCGTAACTGGAGAGTAAGAAACAGCACGACCTGTTTAATGAGCAAAGTTTAAATCCTGTTTGGTTTTTTTCCCTAATGTCCTTGTGCTGAGATAGACACATGCACCATGTTTTTCAAGGAAGGTACATTTGAAGGTGCGATTTCTCACTCGGACCTGGAGCTCAGGATTGTTTCTATGCGTCGGAACTACAACTGGGAAATAGAAATGAAGGAAACGTGTCGTTTCAGGTACAGTGATCTAATCCCAAATCCAGTACAAGCACAAGCTTATCTGGAAATCCAAACATGCTCATGCCCGGAAAATTTCGTTTCCAGTGATGAACTACCTAAACTACAGAGTCCTGGGGTCGTCTAGTAAGATATTTCAACTGTATTTTTCTTCCAATGCTAAAATTTCAAGTTACTCAGGTTCCTTAAACCGAGACATTAAAAAGCTGTAACAGTCACCTGGAGTCCATGCATATTAACTTACCTTGGGAATGCATTAAACAGCATAAAGAGAAATATACGTTAAATATTTAAAACAGCAGCCCATCCTCACCTCCCACATCAGCCTGTAGTCCATGCTCTCGTCCAGGTCCTCCGGCATTCTCTTCTCTCCAGCGAACGGTCCGAACTTCTCACCCTGAGTAGTGACCATTCAGCGAAAAGGCATCAGTTCGACAATCCACTTACTTAACATAAGCTATTATTTCTCTTCTGGAAAACTTTTTTTCTCTGAAACTTCATGCCCCATGATTGAGACACATTTAAAATATTAACTAATTTATACAACACAAAACATTTACATATTTGAAATCCAACTTAAATCTGTTTTTAGCCTAAGATCCTGAATCCAAAAATACAGGAGCCAAGATCAAAGGGTTACGTTGCATAACATTCGAGTCCCGAGGCGGCTGAGTCCCTGCCTCTGGCCAGTGGTCCTGGAATGAGGAGCACTGGCTCTGCCTGGCGTGAGAGACAAGCCCACCAGGCTGAAGATCGCCTGGTTTCCATAAAAGTCCTAAGTCCACCCCAATTATGAAGAAGAAAGAAGTAGGCTTGCCATTCTCAGAGGAAGACTTCATAAATAAAGTTTAAATTCTCCTGCCAATCTTCAAACAGCCAAGGGGCACAGCGGAAAGCAGCGAGCCTGCGTGCCCGCCTGCAGCCCACCTGCATGGGACCTGGGGGTCAGGGCCCTGGGCTTGTTAAATCAAAGGCTCCCGAAGGAGCACTCGGGGAGCTGCGAGAACCCTGGTGCACAGGGAGTGGCTGCAGTCGGTCCTGGGGGGACATGCAAGGCAGGTCAACGGGTGAGGGACACTTTTCTCACTAAGGCAACGAAGCACGGACCGGGGAGATGGCGGGAGTGGGGTGGACTTTGCCGGCCAGATGTCCTGTAGAGATGTGTGCAGGGGAACGGCCCCGGTGGCCCCTCCCAGCCCACCTGCGCCTGGTCTTCAGGAGAACCTGCCCTTCCTACTGAGGCGCAGGAGAAGCCACCACCAAAACCTCCACCAACGTTTCAAGGAATACAAACTGCTTAATGAACAACAGAAAACCCAGCCCCTGGGACAGGAAAATGTTACAGCTTAAAGGAATTACAACCAGCTGACCCAGCCCCTCATTTTACAGACAAAGAAAAGGGCCTGCGAAGCCGAAGCCAAGGACAATGGCAGAGCCAGGACCGGTCTTTAATGTGAACCTGGGAGCAGAAAAACGCTCCCGAGATTCCTCAGGTTGAGACTACCAACCCCGCACAGGCACGCCGAGGCACAGGGACACGGCTCTCTACAGTAACACACAGGGACTGGCCCAGGGCTCGGGTACCAGGCTGCAGAGAGCGGGAAGCCTCCGTGCCTCGGGGGCCACCTCGCGCTGACACCGACATCCAGCATCACTCCTCCGAGGACACACAGCCCCAAAGACGCTTCTATAAAAGGGGGTCTCACCTGACCAGGGGACCTCACCAGTACTGAATGGCGGTTATGAAAAGCTGTACAAGAAATGAAAGGGGAGGGAGGAGAGTTAATATCTACTGAGCTATGTGCTGCACGCCAAACAATCCTACGTGAGGATGCCCCGGCTAACGATGAAGGAAACTGGGACTCCAAGAGCTTAAACCACTTGCTTGCTTAAGCTCACTCGCCTACAAAGATCAGAGAAAGGGCTGGGAACCTGCGGTTTACTCTGGGTGGAGGGCTCAGGCACTGTCCCCTTCCCCAGGCCACCCCTCAAACGCTGGCAGAGAAGCACAGGACCCAGTGGACGAAGTTTAGTCATTACCCCGCCAGGGGCCTGCTCACAGCAGTCGCTCAACACGCTGACCTGACGGCTGCGCTGAATGGGGAAACCGACGGAAGATGAGGCCAAGCTGGAAGACAGGCCAAAAAACAGGAGTGTATGCCCCGCCGGGCGTGGCTCAGCGGTCGAGCGTCGACCTAGGATCCAGGCGATCGGGGTTCAATTCCCGGTCAGGGCACATGCCCGGGTTGGGGGCTAGCCGATCAGTGACTCTCATCATTGAGGTTTCTATCTCTGTCTCTCCCTCTCCTTTCCTCTCTCTGAAATCAATAAAGATATATTTTTAAAAAACAAAAAAAACAGGAGTGTCTCGGTAATGAATTCGTGAAATGGGTACTAGCACACGTAGTTCAGCTTTTCACTCCCCTTGGTCACGTGTTCGGCCTTTAACAACTGCAGGTGGTCATCTGTGTACACACTTTCCAGTGCAACCGATCTACAAATCTGGAGGAAAAACAATGCGTCGGTAAATTCCGCAAAAGACTGGAGAGGGAGGAAACCCAAATACACGCCCTAGAGGACTTACAGCTTTGACTGTTTCAAAGCAGCAGCAAACTCTGACTTCAGAGCCTCGCTATCCACAGCGGGCAATCACTCTAGCGTAACCCAAACTATGAGAAATCCGGCTTTCATTCTTTCCTCAACCCATAGGAAGAAACACATTTTGCATCTCGGCCGAGCATATGCACATATACACAGAGAGACACACACACATAAAACTAAACTAGAAATTTCCTGAAGCAATACTCCCTCCGCTCTGTACAATGCACTCCCATGTTGCCTACTCTACTTTAATCACTTTTGATAAAATACTAGTTTTGACCCAGTGACTTAATTTCACAACTCACCAATAGGCTGCCACCACAGCTGGAAAAAACGTGGGCATGCCCGGCCAGGCGTGGCTCGGCGGTTGAGCGTTGACCTAGGATCCAGGCGATCAGGGTTCGATTCCCGGTCAAGGCACATGCCCGGTTGCAGGATTGATCAATGACTCTCTCATCATTGATGTTTCTCTCTCTCTCTCTCCTTCTCCTTTCCTCTCTCTGAAATCAATAAAGATATATTTTTTTTAAAAAAAGTGGACATAAAAACCTACACAGAGGAGGCATGTATGAGAACGTTTAGTTCTCCGGACTTGAGGAGAGGGCCTTCAAAGTGCACAGTGAGTGCGTGAGGATAATCTGATCAAATACACCCGAGTTTCTGTGGCTGCAAGATTATAAAAATGTGAATAGCCAACTCTTCGTCATCTGGTGGTGAGAGACAGCAGAAAATGAAAACTGGTATTTGGCTTCAGGTGAAGATCTTATCCTCACCAGACCCACTCTCTCCCAAGCGTCCCCTAAAGGGGTCCGGCACCTGCTACCCACCCCTCCTCCAACTCTGTTCACTGTGGTTTCCACTATACAAGCAGCACTTTCTTACCACTATAATTTTATTGTATATACCGCTTTATTCACTAATCTCTTCCTATGGAAATTCTAACCTCAGAGTAAGCCCCTTCTGTCTAGTGGGCTTCAAACCAATTTGGGTAACACACCTACGAAAAGGAGATTTGGGGCACTTTATATATATTATACATATAATTACTTTTTCTTTTAGTTGAAACATATGAAATTGTCAAAATTAGACCATTTTCAACCTACAAAAATGAAAAGTTTTTATATGATTCATTATAATATAAATTACATCTATACAGTAAACCCTGGATTTTTCAGACCTCAATTTAACGGACCAAATTTCCGGTCCATATGTCACGTGAAAATTAACACCTTATTAATTTTAAAATGCTTTGAACCAAGATTTGCTTACAATTAAATTAATAGGATTTTTTTTGTTATTAATTCACTGTTATTTTTAACACATTTTAGCAAAAAGGCTATATGTTGGAAAAAAACAGTCGTAATTTCGCCGACATAAATAAATATTACATATCTACAACTATAGCCTACATATTTAAATCAAGAGTCACCAGTTGTAAAGACTGTTCAGTGAATGATCAGCAGGAAATCACACCGCATCCTGAGAGGTAATTCATTCTGTTGTGGGTGGGGTGACTTTCTGCAGGTTTTAACGTGTGCGTGGCAAAGTTCACCTGTGCACTAAGCCCTACCCCAGCGAGTGCATTTGTTTACTCACAGTGACTGGTGAATGCAGGCATTTACTAGACCTAGTCAATATAAATTTAAAACTACTGTAATACATATAGAAAACTTTCTGTGAAATTAAACTTCGTACATACTTAATTTTAATTATACAAATGTGTCTACATAAGTAAAAACAGGTAAACTAATTTGTCAATTTTTTAACATACACTTTCAGAAAACCTACTTTACCATGTAACAGACTTTGGGCTTTAACGGACACCCCCTCACCCGAATGAGTCTGTTATATCGAGGCTTTACTGTACATATATATGTGCCTACCATATTAACACCTAAGGTGAGGTTCATAATTAATGACAGGAAGGAAACCAATGTCTCAAGCCAGCTTCTTGAAAATTTCACACTTCTCCAGCTGACTCCTGTCACTGTTGGCGTTACCTTCTGGGACTAAGCGGCTGAAGCTCTCACAGGAGCCCAGGAAGTGCCAGCTCTACCATCTTCTAGCCGTTCCCATGCGCCTGCGTTACTGATCTGACCTGCAGTCTGCGAGTTCACGGCACAGCCCTCCTAGAATTCCTCCCTTCCGACTATCTCAAGGGCCACAGTCTCAAATGCTTACAAGGTTGGGCAGGAGGGAACATCAGACACAAGTATGCCAAGGCCAGGTCAGGGGGAGGTTGGGGGGGGCCTCCTAGGCCATGCCCACTTCAAGTTTTTCCACTTGGGTTGAAAGTTGCCCTGTCACCATGGGGGCCCAATGTTACCGGATAGCTGCAAATATAGGGTGTCCCAAAGAAATGTATACACACTTTAACAGCTGATAACTCACTTAATTTTGAAAATGAACTGTATGTTAATAAACACTGACTTGTGTATACATTTTTTGGGACACCTTGTATTTTAGGGAAGCTGATGACTCAAGTGTGCATGCAAAATCCCTACTTTTCTATATTGGAGATAAATTCCAACTATTCAAAATTGGTGCAGGTCCAATAAAATGTGACTGCAAAACAAATTCAACCTACAGACACCAGGCTGTCCCAAACTGGCCTCGCCCAATGCCCAGCCTACAACCCGGCTGTTCTTCTGTTTCTGGACAAAGCAGATCATGAATCCATTCAATTCACCCCCCACTGGGCCAGACAATAACTTTTAATAAACAAGAAATGTGTGATTGCAAACATGTGGGCCATTGTCTGTTATTTTGCTCAATATAATTAGCAAGATTTAGTTGAAAGCAAGATTTAGTGCAGTTTACCCCTTCGAAGGGTGGGGACTGCACCAGCAGAGGCTTCCAGAGGACCAAGTCCTAACCCTTGTCTGCCATTAATCAGCAGTGACCTATCAGGACGTCACAAACTTCTTAGATTCAGTTTCCTCACCTATAGACTTAGGGATCTATTTCTAAGATTTCTTCTAGCTCTTAAATTCTATTAGAAAGAGCTCCCATCTGCCAAGTTTAGAGCAGTTTAAGAATCTGACAACACTGTAATTGATTGGAACGCATTGGCAAGTTCTTAAGTCCATAATGATTGTCAGAAAGAGAAAGAATTAAAAAAAACACACACCAAAAAAAACCAACGCTCATGTGCCATCATTAGAGGATAACAACTTACTAAAATAATGAGAGAGAAAGAACCAGGCATGTGTCCTACCTTCTCATAATAACCCTAGTGCAGGACCAGACAGCAGCGAGCGATGAAGGAAAATTCTTTATGGAGGAGCCTCGTGCCAGCTTACAAGTAAAAGAGGAGCATTTGGGTGAAATCACCATTTTGAAATTCGTAATAA